GGACTGTCAAAAAACGACTCAGGATGAAAAACCGGTCCCCGGGAAGGGGTCCAGACTTCTGGGGGTCGACGCTTGCACAAAAAAACGACGTCGGAGGTCTGGGTCAGGCAAGTTTACTTGCATGGTTTTCGCCCCCTTCCCCTCCCTCGCCCCTCTTCAAGCGAACACTAGCGTGCAAGTGCATTTCGACTTCCGCAAGTGCAAATCGTTTGCGGCTTGCTTCAGGTTCAGGCCCCCCTCCCGCGTCCATGCAAGTAAAATTGCCAGAATCTACAAAGCAGGCTCCAGAGGGTCGGGGGTGGCTAAGGGTGCCCCTGGTCCGAGGTGCCCCCAGCTTTTCGCTCAATTTCGGAGTCCCTGGGGCCCTCTGGGCCTCGTGAGGGGTGCTCTGGAGGCCGTGGGGGGCTCATGGGAAATCCTGGGGGCACCCTGGGTCAAGGGTACTTCTGGCAACACCCGAGAGGGGGATATGGAGGAAGGGGAAAGGACATTTAGAAACACCCCCTGCTTCTTAGTAGAAGGCGCGGGCCCGCGCCTTCCAAGAAGCAGCCTCCTTCTAAGAAGCCGTCCCCCCTCCCCCCCCCCGCGAGGCTCAGACCCCCCTGCATCGTGAAAGAATCACGACGGGAGGTCTTTCGCCGTTTTCGGCCTCTAGGGGCCGCTGCTGGGCCTCGGGACCGTCCACAAACGACGCGGGATGAAAAACCGGTCTCGGGGAAGGTGTCGACACTTTTGAGAGAGCGTGATCCACCGCCGCTTTACTGTGGAAAATTGCCAACCTTTTCCTCCGGAACCCGGGGGTCTCCCCCCCCCCCCCCCCCTCCGAAAATCCCCCCCCCTGCTGGAACCCCTCCCCCCCCCCCCCCCCCCCCACTCCCCCGGCAAAAACCCCCCCCCCTCCCCTAAACCCCTCCCCCCCCCCCCCTCCCCTTCGAAAACCGGGGGGTGGTCACTACCGGTTCGAACCCCTCCCCCCCCCCCCCCCCCCCTCCGGATCCGGAAAACCGGGGGGGGTCACTACCGGTTCGAACCCCCCCCCCCCCCCCCCCCTACTCACCGCCAGCAAACGACTCCCGGTCCCCACCACCGTCCGCATCACATCCCCCACTGGTGTTCCCAGCACCACTGTCCTCACCACCACTGTCCCCACTGGTTCCACCACCGTCCCTATTGTCCCCACCAGTGCCCCCACCACTGTCGCACTGTCCCCACTGTTCCCACAACTGTTCCCACCACGGTTCCACTCTCCCCACTGTCTCCACGGACCCAACCACTGCCTATCCCCACTGTCCCCACTGTCCCACTGACTCCTCCGCTGTCCCACTGAGCTGTCCCACTGTTTCCACCACTGTCCCCACTGTCCCCACCACTGTCCCCACTGTACCTCTGTCCCATTGTCCCACCGCCGTCCTCGCCACCGCCTTTACCAGTGTCCCCACCACCATTGTACCCTCCACTGTCCCAGTGTTTCCACCTCATTCCCACTGTCCCCACACCACTGTCCCCACCACCACCGTTCCCACCACTGTCCACTGTCCCCCCTGTTCCCACCATGTCCCCACCACTGTCCCCACCACTACCGTCCCCACCACTGTCCCACTGTCTCCCCACCGTCCCCACCACTGTCCCGCTGTCCCCTCACCACTGTCCCCACCAACACCGTCCCCACCACTGTCCGCACCCCCACTCGGTTTTCGAGGGGGGGGGGGGGGTTCGAACCGGTAGTGACCCCCCCCCTTTTCATGATGAGCTGGGGGGGGGGGGGAGGGGGTTCGAACCGGTAGTGACCCCCCCCGGTTTTCCGGAGGGGGGGGGGGGGAGGGGTTCGAACCAGTAGTGACCCCCCCCGGTTTTCCGCCAGCAGCGGTAGAACACGCTCTTTCACACCTTTGGGGGGCGACGTTATGAAAGAAACATGGCGTGGGGGCCTGGGCTAGAGATCCGACGCTCCGAAAACAAACTTGGAGCGGGCGGTTTTTGGCCGTTTTCTGCGTCCAGGGGCCCTCGCCGGGCCTCAGGAGCGTCAAAAAAAAACGGGACGAAGAATCAGCCCTATAGGGAAGTGGTCTGGCCCTCGGGGGCCCACTCATCGAAGAGACTGGAGCAGCAAGATGTCTGGGGACAGGGGAAGGGGGGGGGGCAGGGGGTTGGGAAGGAGAAGGTGGGGGGTGGGTGGAAGGGGTTTTTCGGTCCGAGGCTCCACGCGATAACGCCCGTGACAGGCCCCGGCCCCCCCCCCCCCTCCCCCCCCCGCCACCCCCCTGGTCAGGGTCACGTCAGGATTCGCGCCGGCGCCGTGTGGGAATGCGCCATTCTTCCTATTGGCCATTCTTCTTAGGGGTCGGCGCATGCGCGAATCGTGACGTGTCCGGTCCCCTCCCCCCCTCCCCACCTCCCTGGTCACGCCCCACCCCCCCCCAAAAAAAGCACTGCCTCGTAGAGACTAATTTTTTCAATCTGGGCGAATTTCCCGATTTCGGCCTCTGGGGCCTGTCACTGGACCCCGCGACCATCAAAACTGGGTCCGGGGCGAAGAACTACCCTCGGGGAAAGTGTCGGGACCTCTAGGGCCGCGGTCAGGAAAAAACAGATCGGATGATGTCAGGGGGGCAACGTTGAGGAGGAGCAGGCTACGAGGTCTTCGAACGTTTTCGTCGGTTCCTAAGGTTTTCCAACCTCGGGGTGCTCTCCAGCAACTGCGCCTCGTCGAAGGCTTTCCAGGGTTGCCCGGATCGTCCTGAACGGCCGCCGTAGACCCGAGTTATGCCCTGAAGCCATTATCTCTGGCCCAAGGTGTCCCCAGGATCTCCACGCAGAGGAAAGAAAAGCATTACGCACATGCAGCGATGCTAGCCTGGACCATCCTGGTCCCAGGATTGGCATCGGTGAATGTGGACATGTCTCATCGCTCAACCAAAGGGGCCATCACGGCTTCAAGGGCACCCCTCACGAGGCCCAGAGGGCCCGAGGAGTCTCCTCCCAGAGCGTAAAGCTGGGGACACCTTGGGCCGGAGATACTCTTAGCAACCCCCGACCTGGAGCGAGGGGCTCTGGAAGAAGCAACCCCCTCCTCACCCTCCTCTTTCTCCTCTTTCTCCTCCTCCTCCTCCTCCTCCTCCTCCTCCTCCTCCTCCTCGTATCTGGCCTGGCCCCGCAGGAGCGGACGACGGGAGGGAACACAAACAAACAAAAAAACGCGGAGCGAGGGACACTTTCAGGCACCCCCCGACCTGGAGCGAGGGGCGCTGGAAGAAGCAACCTCCTCCTCACCCTCCTCCTCCTCCTCCTCCTCCTCCTCCTCCTCCTCCTCCTCCTCCTCCTCCTCCTCCTCCTCCTCCTCCTATCTGGCCTCCTCCTCCTATCTGGCGCTGGAAGAAGAGGGAGCTGCATGGACTCGGACTCCCAGATCTCCGACGGTGTGGTTTCTGCCAAAAGCCCAGCGTGCTTCCTCGATCTCGGCCCCCACGGGGGCCCGTCGTCGGGCGTTCCCGGAACCATCCACAACGGATCCTGGAAGAAAGCTACGGCGGAGGCCAGTCCACACGAAACCTTCCACGAGAAGCCCAACCCTGAGACCCCAGGGCGTCCATGGATTCTTGGTGTGGGAACGTCACGCCTTCCGCGGCAAAACCATCGGAACCCAAGAAACCCAGGGCACCCTGGAGGCAAGCAGGGTGCTCTTGGCCGATCCGATAAATCCGCGCGGGCCTCCACCGAGGGAAGATGATCCAGGTCTCGGTGACGAAGGCAATAATGCTTCGCGCTTCAAGATGTGGCCGAGTGAGCACCACCAACACCAACATCTAGGATCATCTTTCCCCGGTGGAGACACCCTGCTGTGTTGTTGTTGGTGCTAATTTCCGGGCCTCCAACCTGGAGCGAGGGGCTCTGGAAGAAGGAATGACCACATGAGCATACACGTTCGGCGCGCCAGGGTGCGCCCCACGCGACAGGCGGCGTGGAGCGATGTCTGGCCTCTTGGTGCCCTTACCGCGCCCCGGAACTGTCAAATACAGTAGGGGCTCGACCACAAGAAACCTTCCACAAGAAGCCAAACCCTGAGAACGCAGGGCGTCCATGGGTTTTGGTATGGGAACGTCACGCCTTCCACGGCAACACCATCGAAACCCAAGAAACCCAGGGCACCTTGGAGGCAAGCAGGGTGTTTATTGGCATAGGTTTCCCACCTGTAACAACTCGGGACGAAAATCTGGTTCCAGGGAAGAGGCCCAGATCCCCGCACGCTGGAGAAAAAATACGATGTCGGGGGTCTGGGGAGCCCAGCGCCGAACCAAGAAATCCGCGCGTCCCGCCCTCCTCCTCCGCCTCCTCCTACTCCTCCTCCTCCTTCTGGTTCTTCTCCCTCCCATTTCCTCCTCCCCCCCTGCCAGCGCCCACTTCGCCACACCCCTCTCACGTCGCGCCTCGCACACGAGCTTCATCGACGGCCTCCGAACCCTTTCCCGATGACCGTTGTTTCATCCCGAACCGTTCTGTGACGGCCCTGGGGCCCAGCGAGACCCCCCCAGAGGCCGCACACGGACAAAAACCTCCCGCGCTGACTCTGCTCACGACGCGAGCATCCCTGAGATCCGATGTTGCGAAAAAGTTGCAACATCGCGACAGAAATGCAACATCGCGAAAAATCGCGAAGCAAACATGAAACATGGTACGGAGCAAGGCGGGAGCCCTAGACCCCATCTTTCTGCGGCATTGTTCGAGCCGGATCGATCTGTGAGGGTCCTGGGGACCGGAACACGGCGAAAACGCCCGCTGAGAAAAAAATGCAGCGCCAGGATCTCAGATATCTCTGGGTCCGCGAGCTCATTGGGACGCACAGGAACATACTAGTATAGGTCCTTCTTGGAGGCGCGCGTCCGACCCGAACATATAGTATACTCATCTTGTAGCATGCCGATTCCCGAGCGGTGTGGCCAAAACGCGCCCGCAACGACGCATCTACTACAAGATTTCTCGGTGCGCGCGTCGCCCCTGGGGGGGCGACGCATACATAGTAGTAGTATGTTGGGGTGACGCCGACTCATGCCCACGCGGCCGTTCCTTCTTCGGGGCTCGCCCCAAGGCAGCGCGCAGTGCAGGTAGCCCGGCGCGCCCTTCCGGTTCAGCCCGAAGACGAGGGGCGCGTCGTACCGCCCGTGCCCTGCGAGGCTCGCCTCGTGGGGGGGCGCCATGAGCCGCGTGCCATCCACCAAGAGGGGCAGGCCTACGTCTAGGGCAGGACGGGGGCAGGCCTGGGGGACGCAGTAGGCCCAGAGGAGGCCCAGGAAAAAAGGAGGAGGAGGAGGAGGAGGAGGAGGAGGAGGAGGAGGAGGAGGAGGAGGAGGAGGAGGAGGAGGTAGGGTCCAGGAGACACGCAGGTGGGCCCAGGGAAGGCCCAGGGACGGCCCAGGCACGCCCGGAGGAGGCCCTCCTCCCAGGGGCAGAGGCCCAGGGCAGGCCCAAGGGGGCCCGGGAAGGCCTATAGAAGGCCCAGGCGGGCCCAGGGGAGGCTTCTCCTTCCGGATGGGTGGCCCCTGGGCCCCCGTGTGGCGGAGCGCCGCCCTCCTGGACGTGCTCGCGCCGTGAGCAACATCACTACGACAGGTTTCTGGGCCGTGCTCGGCCCCTGGAGGCCAATCCGCCAGGCCACGGGGCAGCAACAGGGCGACACGGGGTGGAAACCTGGGACTGGGGAAAGGTCGGGGGGATACATCCCTGGCGGGCCCGTGCTGCGCAGACCCCTCGCGCCAAAAAGAGCACTCAAAGACGCGCTGCTGACGAACCGAGCCGCTCCAGAAGAAGGGCCATGAGGCCAGGGGCCTGGGAGCCAGACGCACTCCACAAACCCACACACAAGCACACACACACACACACACACACACACCCTGAACACACCCTGGACACACGATGGACACACCCTAGACACCCCCTGGAGACACCCCAGACACACCCAGACACACGCGAGACACAGGCGAGAAACGCGCGACGCAAACACAGACACACGCCAGACACATGTCAGACACAGCCAGACACACGCCAGACACACGCCAGACACACGCCAGACACGCGCCAGACATACGCCAGACACACACCAGACACACCTCAGACGCACCCAGGCACACCCCAGACAAACGCCGGACACACACCAGACACACGCCAAACATAAACACACACCCACACACAGACACTGCTGTACGCCCCCAAACACTCACACACCCACGCGCGCGCCAGAAACAGCCAGGACACGCGCCAGACACACCTAGACACACGCCAGGCATATGCAAGACACACCTCAGACACACCCAGGCAAGCGCCAGACAGGCGCCAGACACACGTCAGATACACGCCAGGCACACTCAGACACACGCCAGACACATCCAAACACACCCCAGGCACACCTCAGACACACCCAGATACATGCCATACACACCCAGATACACCCGGACACCCACCAGACACACCCTTCGACGCACGCCATACACACGCCAGACACACCTAGACACACGCCAGAAACAGCACACACACAGACACACAGACACACAGACACAGACACACACACACACACACACACACACACACACACACACACACACACACACACACACACACGCGCGCGCGCGCGCGCGCGCCGGACACACCTAGACACACGCCAAAGACACGCCAGACACACGCCACACACGCCTCGACGACGACGACGACGAGCAGGACTGCGACGTCTCCGAGTGCGACAACCCCATCTGCAACTCCGACATACTCCGACGACTCCGATGTCGACGACGACGACGACTCCAACTCCGACGTCTCCGATGACGATGACCCTCCGAGGCGTAATGCCCTCAAGAAGCTCCACACTGGCTACCGCAAACAAGCCAGCGTAGAAACATAAAAACGCAATGTATCTACACCAACAAGTAGGCGTCTACACAGAAATTGGCTGTGCCCAGCACTCCACACGAAAACTCATTTGACGTACGCTGGCGAATACTTTGGAACGCATCCAGGCCTCGCAAATGTAATTCGCAAAGGTCTGGTTGTTGGGCGTGGGACCACTGAGATGTTGCAGCGCATGCGCGCACACGACAGTGGAGTATGGACACTTCTCGGGACGGGTATATTCGAATCGCGAAATTGTTTTAGAGGACCGCGCGCAAGAGACACTCCAGACAAATCCAGATAAACCCATATCCTTCAAAGTCACCCCCCAAGCTCACCCCGGCACGCACTCCTGGACACACACACAAACACACGCCAGACACGCGACAGACATACGCCAGACACACGTCAGAAACATGCCAGACACACGCCAGACACACGCCAGACACACGCCAGACATACGCCAGACACACGCCAGACACACGCCAGACACACGCCAGCCAGACACACACACACACACACATACACACCACACACACATACACACACACACACACCACGCACCACACACACACGCGCGCACACACATACACACACACACACACACACACACACACACACGCACAC